TATCTCTTACACATGAGCACCCATAAAGACCCATAAGATAGAACTTCACTTTTGCACGTATTTATTTAAATGATCCCAAAAATTATGCGGCACATGTACTTGAGTTTCGAAATTCGGTCACAATACGGACGCAGAATTCATCACAAGTGCTTTATTTGCTACTGATGCCAAGTCACGCATTCGGTCAGGCTTTCGATTTATTGTCTATTTCATACGCATATTCACAATTAAGTGTTGCGCAACAGTGTTACTCACCTTGTCTTGGAGAGAAATGTCATCTACTTTCTGTATCTGAAGCAGAATACTGTTTAACTACTTCATTGATCCACATTAATCCACTGACCTTAGCTTTTAAGAAAAATTATTGAGTCTTTTTATAAGAAAACTTTATCATAAATATAGGTACAGGTTTGAAAAATTTTGCCTGGAATTTTCCCGCTTATCATTATTTTTCTCGGAAATGAGCAACTGAAAAAAATTCTTTTTTTGCTGGGTAAAACAAATGTGTCAGATTTTTAGCTTATTTTTATAGTGGGTTTAGAGAACCACTAGCAAAATGAGAAACGCTTTGAGATAAAGATTGAATTTAAAAACGTGGCATCTTCCGATCGCGACCATCAGTAGCATATTATGAGAAAAGAGAAAAGTTCAAAGAATAGCTCGTGGTCGTGGGAAGGCGCTACAATGGCTCCGATATGTCACGGCGGCTGTTTCACTGTATTTTCTAATAATTACAAAATTAATACCAATCTATATGGTGTTAGCTAATTGATGCAGAGACACACACATAAAAACTGCCTAATTCTTAAAAAAATATTAAATAAAATTTTGATGTATCTGTTTCAGATGCTGCCATTCCTGCTAATTCTAGCAGCAACCAGATGTAGAAGCGCATCTGTCAACGGATATCATAATGGAAACGGTGCTACGCAGTTCGGAGAACTCTTGAAGCCGCCTCCGCCACCACCGCTATCTCCAATAGCCCCAGTGCCATTCCACGGAGGATCAGGAAGGCTACAGCGGCAGAATCTAGACACTGGTTACCATTACCAACCCCCTCCACCCCCACCGCCTCCCCCTCTCCCACCATCAGCCGAATTCAAATTCCCTGCCCCATTTTACAAACAGTACAACTTTAATTTCGTCCCACCTCCTCAGCCATTCTCTACGACGCCATCTCCCACGTTGTTCCAAAAAGTTTCAGGCTGGTTGTTTTCCTCACAACAGACAAATTACGATGCAGGGTCAAATAATGTAGCACCAGCCCCAATAAAAAAAGATTGCAATCCTTGCAATTTAGTGCCATGGATACCAGTAATAAGATACAATGTTGGAGCTAAAAATATATTTTCAAGCTCAAATCCTACTTATGGACCACCAAGTCCCACAGGTTACCTTGAACCACAAAAAGTAGTAGAGTATAAGCCACAGCCTTTCCAAACTCCGCACCAGAATCTTCCACAACTATCAACTGGTATTCCACATGCAGAATATGGTCTACCCGTAATATCTCATCCTAATAGTTTTAATGGTCCCAGCTCCACATACGGGCCTCCCATTTCTACTTATGGACCACCAAGCCCAACGCATACGGTGGCCGTGTCGTCTCCTAATGCCTTAAGTTCTACTTACTCCCAACCAAGTAACTCTTATGGAGCGCCTAGCTCATCTTATAGTGCACCTAGTTCATCATACGGTGTTCCAAGCTCATCATATGGTGCCCCTAGTTCATCCTACAATGCACCTAGTCATAGTTCTTCAACGTCGATTAATTACCCTACTTCTTCATTCAGTTCACACAGTTCAACACATGGTGGATCAAGCACTTCCTTTAGTATATCAAGTTCATCTTTTGCGACCCCTTCTCCTTCTTATGGATTTTCAGAATCTACAACGTATTCATCAGTAACTCCCCTTTATGAACCAGAGTTATTAAACAGTCAGTTACCACAACAAAATGATATTGGTGTATCAAATCAACCAGAGCTTTCAGGAGACTTCCAATTACCTAAAGTGACTCCACCAACGACTTTCAGAAACTCTTATGGAGAACCTATTCCTAATAATTATATATCGGATATTCCTTACCCAGTATCAGCTACCGCTGCTGAATCAATGAAAATAAAAACTGAAGTGTTGCCAAATAGCACGCCCTTATCGTCACAAAATGCATCTTTAGCATTAGCAAATCCAGCACCTTTTACGTTAAATAGAGGAAGAAACATTCACACTTTGCAACCGGTTGCTTTACCAAATCTGAGTGTGTCTCCATTACCGCCCATATTTAATGCAAGACCATTTAGACCCACAAGTCCAAAATTCCCTACAATATTAGTTCAGGGAATAAACTCTATGCAACAAAATTCCAACAATGTTAAGATTGAACAAAGTGTTCCCCTTGCTGAGTTTACACATTCAGTTGATTATCCAGCTTCCTTTGTCCAATCACCAGTAATTGATGTAGACGTTCCTCCTAAGACTCGAAATGAAACCAAAGCCTATAGAAATATACCAAATGCTTTTATTTTAAATGAACTCAGAGATATATCTTCACAAGCTACAGAAGATCACGCAGCTAAAACTCTTCAAGACTCGAGTTTTGAAAGTACAGGTACTGACGTTGGAAATGAATTATATGACTCAGGAATACCTATGGGATTTAAACTTAGAAACGTTCCTAGTGCAAACAAAAATAATTTTGCTGATTTGAGGGGAATTAAGGACGAGTACGTAGACAAATACAGGACAGAAGGCAACTTACAGAATATAGACTCTCCTCTATTATATCTGAAACCAAGTGCTCCACATAAAGAACATGGAAATTTTGTGTTAGCTATATCAACGCCAATAAATGATCATGACTACGAAATATACGACGAGAGTCCAACAACGGCTACACCGCAGATTTCCACTCCTCAGAGTGCTTGGGACGAGGGCAGGAATGATTATAATGAACCTCCTCCAACAGCAGCGCAAGAGAGCATAGACCGTCCCAAAATTGTGCAAATCATTGTCCCGTACACATCTGGTCGTAATCAAGAGGATTGGGAATATACACAAGACGAATATTATCGAGCCCGAAAAATGCCATCTAATACAGAAAACTCAATTCTCAGTACAGTCACAGAGAACTATAATACTCCTAGCACAACTACAGAAGAATCAACACAAAGTGTGCCAGATAACTATGATGCAGAACGTATAAAAACAGCCGAGATACTTAACGATTTATACGATGTCAAAGAACCACCATTTGATATAATTAAATTACAACACACGATTGATGATTGGACAGAACAAGAATATTCTGAGCATTACAAAACTCCACAAAGGACGCGTGGTTTTGAGAAATATGCTAAGCAGATTCCTGATGAATATTTTACGACTACAATGCCAACAAACTATGTTACTAGCAACGATTACAACTACGATTTTAATGACCACGAGGGTTCAAGCAGTATACAACATTCCGTGACGGAAGATCAAAATTATATTCCAAATTCACATAAACCACGCAAAGAGTACAATGTTATAGCTCGAAACCGAACTACACATAGTAATAGACAAGAGGAAAAGGCGAGGGAGATCGAAAAACTGCATATCTACACTGCGGCTTCCACTTTTAGAAGCACTACCACTACGCCCGCCCCTTGGGGTAAAATTCTAACTTCTATATCCCCTTTAACTAAAGAGAAGGTTTATGTTGTTACATCAAAACCGTGGCGAGACTCGCGGAATGTAACAAATGACTGGTATGCAGTAGAGTCGTTTGAATCTAAAAAGACTAACAACGATAACGTTGTGTCTGCTTCAGACAACTTGCCTTTTAAATCCCCTAGGTTTGTAAATAGACCCTCATTAGGATTTTCTTCCGAAGAAAGTAACTCTATGAAGTCAGATTCTTCATATGGCTTTTCTAAAAGCTGGTATCAGAGCAGTAAGCATTCTTGTAACAATGATTTTTTATTGATGTTTCATTTAAATTGTGGTTAATGATTTATTATTTTGTTTCAGTAAATGATTTGGAGAATAGAGGTGCCAGCAGTAATATGACGTGGCCAGAAGGTTCTCCCCATAAACATACCACTAACCTGGACGAGGTTTTAAATTTTATTACTAACTTTCCTTAGCACAATCCCTCATAGCAATACATATTAACGAAAGGAAAAGTAATGATCTCTACTGGCTGCTTATTTTAATTTATTTATTTCTGTCTTTTTATCTCAGTTAACATTTGATAATAAGTATTTTTACCATTAAACAATTGAACAATGTAAATAAAAGCACACGAATTAACTTAATTGTAGAACACATTATTATTATCACAGTAGTTAGGTACTATACTAGTTAATATAGCATACTTACCTATACATAGATATATTTAATAGGAATATCTAGGAGTTTTATATTATTTTTGTTCCAGGTCTTAACCGATACCACGACTGCAGATCTTCATAGCAACTCGGAGACGTAGATGGTTTAAGTATAGAAATACACAAGGACCATAATGAAAGTGCATTATAGTGGCTTTTCCGTGAAAGTGATTAATGTTAACTGAACAGTGCATAATGATAAAGACACAAAAGTGCTAATTGACAATTGTTTTGTGGAACTGAAAATGACTTTAAAAACTAATAAGTAGGTTTAGATAAATGTGGGAAAAGAGCAAATTAGAAAGAATACTGACACCTCGTGTATTCTTTTTAATTTGATCGTAGTTTAAGCAAAGTGAACCAAAGTAGGACTTTTTGTACGCAATAGTTAGTTTAACAACGATAATGTTCACTGAATTCTGTTAATTTTAAGATAAACATAATAATGACAATATTAAATAAAGTATTGAAAATTTAACTATGTAGGTAATGTAAGAATTGTAAATATTGATACCGTGATTGTAAATAAATGTGTAGACGTGCAAAATGATGTTTATTTTTCTTGAAATCAAACATGAATAAAGATAATTTTAAGCGATGCTAGAATTGGGATAGAAAATGAAAAAAAAAATAGTAAAATTAAATTATTTTATACAGTAGCCTACTTATTAAGTATTATTGAATATCTTACACCTACCTATCAATTTACATTTAAAAGGCAGTTCTTCTAGCCCAGCTAGATGTTTTGTTCTTTTGTAGTTGTTTTGTTCTTTACTCTGATGTACAAAAACTCAGCACACCATATAAATACTGTAAATAGGGTGACTGCATTTAATACTAAAATTGGCACTTCATAGGACCCTGAAGTTTCACGTATTCTTCCTGAAAAAGAAATAAAAAATTAAATTGATAACTCAATACGTGACTGATTGTAACAATCAGTTATTAATTTATTAATCGTCTAATATTCGTTAATTATTTAATCTCTTTCAAGGATGATGTCTATGATAAAGATCGCTACCACCACATTGTGACGTAGGTATGTTTCCCTAATTCTTATTCGGGAATTTATTGTTCCATTTGTTTTTTTTTGTGTTCCATTACTGACAACAATAAGCACAATAATATGATTATTGGAATTTGGCCATAAAAAAAAATACTTTATCTGGGCACATTGTGACGTCTTCATTCATCAGCTTATTACATGTTTATTAGGGGTATTATGGCTTATGGCTGGGTATTACTAAAAAAAGCAGAATCATGCTTATAACCAAAAATTATCAAAAAAATCACGTGTCACGTGAGAAAGCGTTGGGACTTGGGATATTAATACCTACTTGAGACAGACCGATTTCTTTTATGTTGGTAACAATTCTTCTAAACTAAAATTCAAACAAGTCTCAGGTAGGTAAAGTGGTTATTTTCCTACTCACACCAAGAACATTATGTCTTAAAAGTCATCTATTTTTAAAAGCCTGATAGATCTCTAAGGGGAGATAGTAATTTAGTCATATATTAGTTAAACTAAGATACACTTACCCAAAACAGATCCTAGACCAATGATGGTGATGCCGTTAAGGAACATTTGGATGCCCGAGGCGAAAGCCAGTCGCTCTATGGGCACGTAGCTTGGGATCACGATGTTCATGTACACCGTCCGCAGGCCTTTGGTGATGCCGATCGCCAGAGCAACGAATATCATGCCCAGGTAGGTTGTGGTGAACAGCATCACTGAAAAGTTATTACAATGTATAATTAGAACACTAAAGAGGTGATAACCTCCGAGATATACGAGGTACTTATTATAGAATATGAAATAGAAAGAGAGAAATCCGGTTGTCTTTACTAATATTATAAAGATAATATTTGAGATTGTTTACTGCAAAATGTTCGATTAGATGAATCGCAACATAACTAGGTACATACAAATAAAATTAATTAAATTAACAATAATTAAATAATAAAAAGGGCCGTAGTGAAGAAATTTTGTGATCGAATCGGTCATAAAGTTTACATTGTAGTTTTTACTAACTCTACAAAAAGATGTCAAAGTCACGAGAACGAGCATAATAAGGCAATTTATAGCATTTTGAAGATACGAGTTCTGTAAGAGTTCTTTGAGGTGCATTATGTGCAATTAATTCCAGTAGGGCTTACATAAAAATATAGGTGTTTTATGATGAATAGATTACTCATTGAAAAGATCACCTTCAAACCTAGTGCTCCAATTTGACTATAGATATCTTAAAAAAGAGATAAGCTTGCAACGAAGTCTTATCTGAGGATATTGAACTATCGATTCAATAAGTAAACGAATCCGGCCGTCATATACCTACCTAATTATTAACTGACTTGCGGTCAATAACACAATTGACCTAGAAATGCAAGGTAGATAACCGCACTACATTGTGCATTGTTAACTAACTTAGGCCATTACCTTTTGGGAAACAATTAAAAAGTCATAATAATAAGTAATGACATTATTCTACATGATAAACATTGTTTGGTCTTCGATATTATGAGCTATGCTTCATAAAACAAAATTACTTAATATGCTTGAGTGGTGAACGCGTGATTTTGAAAATTTTCGATAAATTATTACTTTTTTAAAATAGAGGTGATATAATAAAAGAAGCGCTTACTACTTTAACGTAAGAGCATTCAATAAGTAGTGACGGGTAAAAGTAAATTACTACTTACTTGTTCTAGTGAAGACAATCAATACTAGGCCAATCATGTACATGACTCTCGGTGGCTTATGGCACCATTCGCCAATGAAAGGAGACACCAACCGGAACAACGTGTCCGAAAATCCTATCACTGCCATTATTTGTCCTATTTCACTAGTTTCAAACTTCAACATGTCCTTTAAAATTATAGGGAACAACAACGAAAAGTTCGTTTCAACACAAGCAGCTACAGACATTCCGATCAAAATGTTCACAAATATTGGATCACTTAGTAAAGTCAGATCAAAAAAGTCTATGAAATTCTGCATAAACGTTTTTTCAGGCTCCTTTTCTGTTATGGCGACTTCTTTAGGCTTTGTGGTTTTCTTTGCTTCAGATTCAAGAAATATATTGAAGGAACTACCCAGATTGATTTCTTGAGATTCCCACCATTTATACTGAGCTTCTCGTAGCGGAGGCTCAGTCGATGTTTTACGTATGTCTGGGTGCGATACTGCGTTTCTTGTCTCCAAACTATTATTACTGGTTAGAGATCTCATTGACAAACTTTTTGGATGTGGTATAACGCCATTTTCTAAAGATTCTTCTAATTTCGGTAGAGATTGAATACCTGAAAGTTTAAAAGGTTCATGTTTATTGATAAAGCAATGTACAATTTACTATTCATAATTTACGAGTTAATAATCCATACCAGTTTGTTTAGATGAAGTTGTAACGCTTCCATTTACAAGCTCAGTACTCGGTTCCCTATTTAAGGGAATTTCTTCTTCGGTGAGTGGAGGGTCCTTAAAGTACCATTTAGCTGGTCTCAGCAGGCAAGCGCCTACGAGTGAGTGGAGGCAGATGGCAGCGAGGATTAGGACAGCATACCTCCAGCCGAAGGCGTACATTAATGCGCTCATGAGTAGGGGCATGTAGATTGCTCCCAATCCTGTTAGGGACATAGCCACTCCAATAGCTCTCCCTCTCTTCTCTTTAAAGAATGAATTGATTGCTAAAGCAAACGCTGCCATCACTGCAGCTACTCCCATTGCTGAAACATAAATTAGTTTGCTTTTTACTTTTTTTTCGTAGATAACTTTATTTAATTCAAGAAGATTATTGCATGTTGTGTTATCCTTTACAACGATACGGATACGCCGACGAGATAAGACTTTTACAATGGAAAAATAATGCAGGTAGGTGCAACATAGATTTTAATAACATTGTGCTGGTTTCTAATAAACATTAGATACTCATTTTGTCGCAGACAGTTTCTTTGATAAATTATACAAAGGCTAGATAGATAACTAAATATTAGCAAAATGAAAATCCCCTAGCACTCAAGGTCATGAATGAGTTAATAGGAAACTTTTTTTGTACTAAATGGCAATGTTAAATGTCAATGTATATGTATGGGGTGGCATCTACTTAACTAACTGCCTAATGATTACTTAGGAACTAATAATAATGGCTTAGTACCTGAGTTTTAAAAGACCAAAGTATACTATCAGTCTTGCATTACGAGTAGGTATTGCATAATAATGTTCCTATTCGTTTCAGCCAAAGGATCAATCGTCGAATCCAACTCGGATGGGCAGCGTTCGGGAAGCTTCGCCATATACTCATGTCCGAAATACCGCAGTGTCTCAAGACGAAAGTCTTCGAGCAGTGTGTGTTGCCAGTGTTGACATATGGATCCGAAACGTGGTCGCTTACTATGGGCCTCATAAGAAGGCTCAANTTAAAACCGTGTTGTTGCTTAATTTTGTGTCTGATTATGGCTGAATTTGTTTGGAAAAAAATATATTTTTATTTTTAACTACATTGTTTAGCTATCAAGAATTTATATTTAATAGTCAATGTTCGTATTGTGATATTGTCATCTCCACCTTGTATACATTTTTTCAAAATTTTTGATGCGCGAGGCCCCTTGTACCGCGAGGCCGTAGGCGGTGGCCCACGTCGCCTACGCCTTACGCCGCCTCTGCATGAATGAGTTAATAGGAAACTTTTTTTGTACTAAATGGCAATGTTAAGTGTATGTATATGTATGGGGTGGCATCTACTTAACTGCCTAATGATAACTTAGGAACTAATAATAATGGCTTAGTACCTGAGTTTTAAAAGACCAAAGTATACTATCAGTCTTGCATTGCGAGTATTGCATAATAATGTTCCTATAAATACTTACAATTGATAATACTGTAAGATAATATGAAGACCCAGAAGTTCGACGCGGCTGAGGTCATCAAGAGGCCCACACTGATGAATATGGCTCCTGCGGCTGCGACCTTCCTGTACCCAAATCTTCGAAGGACAGGTCCTCCGAAGAAAGAGAGCAGCATTCCGTTGCCATGGTTGAGTGTGATGACGAGGGTGCCCTGCGTGGCAGACATGCCTGTCTCGGCAAATGCCTCTTGGAAAACCAGGCCGAAGCCGGCAATGAGGGGCAGCACGACAATCTGGAATGTTTTTACAGCAGATGCTTAGTTTCCATTGAGTAGTTTACGTTCGTCACCTATCACTGAGACAGATAGGTTCCTTGAAATTTTCTACTTTTATGATACGCCGGACTTTTTTAAATGGTAAGACAGTATTTCCTTACTGCGACATAATATACAAGCCGTTTGTAGAGTTGATAAAGGAAACCGCAAAATAAGTATTTTTTCGACTACTAGAGATGTTTAGTTTGGTTGTTCCTCGAAAATATGTTACAGCCCTCTGGTTTTTTAAATTAGCTAATTGGATTTCTAGGCCGGTCATTAAGTTCATTAATTAAACTTTACTAAATTCAGCCTAGTCTGAGTTGCACCATCTTACTTTAACAAACGTCAAAAATCTGTCAAACTCCATACAAAAAACACCGGTTATTGTTATAGTTACGGTTAAAGTAAGTTAGTGGAACTCAGCTTAACTGTAGTAGTTACAGAAATCGATATTAGAGGAGTGTTTGTCTGTTGGAAGCATTTTTAACTGTATGTTACTAGTATGTCTCTTTACTAGAAAGTACAAAGGTCATTTGCACTTATTGCTCTATATCAAAAATCCAGTTGATATTCCGTCTGGTCTTATCAATTGGGTTTCTATATTTGGAGCTACGAGTTTGCTCCTAGTTGTCGAACTCGTAACTATCACAAGTTACGATTTCGGTGCATAAGTGTAATATAATAATGTAAAATACTCCTAGATGTTGTGACAGTAGGTACGCCATCACAATAAGTAAGTACATAAAATAATACAATAAAGTACACAATACTAACTTGTATTTTTGTATTGCAATTATAACAAATAGACCAATGTTGCCATCATTTCGTATTGAACTGTTTCTTTTATATATATTTTGTCATAACTTGTTTTAGTTATTATACCTAAACTATAGTTGAATAGTGGCGGCACCGACGAACATCTGGCTAAAGATTTGTGATGCTGGTTTGTTTAACAAATTAGTCTTAACTTATTCTTAATAACAGGTAACGGTAAGGTAAGGTAGAAAATACCAAGATCATACTTACATTGTTCAAGGCATAAGCGAAGGCCACGACCCATCCGTAGCCTCCGTCAGGCGGCACTTTGTTCCCCATATTCGTCATTTTGTTACTAAAATTTTATTAATCACAATCCGTATCACTGTGCGTTGAAAGTCATCTTCAAATTAGCAGAAAGTCACTGATACAGTCGGCGCCATAACATTCACTATCACTTATTTGCTCAGCTTTCGTAAGATTGTTGACTCCAGAGTCAGGCACTCGACACAGCGATGCTCTCGGCTGAAATAATGTAAGTGCCACCTAATGACGGATACCGACTTGTTATCGGTTTGACTTTAATAATGTTCCCTGTTATCAAGCGAGAATGTTATTTGCTCGTAGACGTGTTTATTTTTCGCCGGTACGAGTGGAACGCGAGAACAACGGGCTATAATTACTTATTGATGCAGCGTTGACCCAAATGACAGTTAAAACTAATCAGAATGCACACAAAATAACGTTTGAACGTTGTAGCCGGTTTTTGTTGGATTTGATTCTTTAATTTAAACATTTTATTTGTATTAACATTGTAATCTAAACTGATAATTAAGATGTAGAGTCAATATGACCATTTTGTAATGAATGAATTAAATATAATAGACTTTAAATTGAATATCTTTACTTTGTCAATAATCTACAAAAGTAACCGTGTGACTAGCTATGATTTCTTAAATACTTATATAGCTGAATAACAAATGGTAGAATTTCATTACGTCACGCGTCATACATTTACATAAAACGTACAAGTTAAAAAAAAAGTCTGTAGAAGATTGTGGTTAGTTAATTAGGTACCTACTCGTACCAATTTTAATTTTATTCTGATAACATAGTTATTATTGTCACGTTTTTGTTGATCCGATTAAAACATTCATTGCTTTCAGTAAAAACTGTTAATTGGAATTCCTTTTAAAAAAATTTGAAGACAAAAAAAGTAAAGTTCGTTGACCAGCTGCTTCAATTTTCATATTAACTAGACTCTACAGTTTATAGTCTTGGTAAACAGTACCAGTAGACAGCTTCTCAATCCTCATACGATCTTATTTTGTTTTAACTACAACTGTACCTACAAAGACGCACAAAGTACGGTACAAATATAGATAAAACTTTGTTACAAACAACGTAATGTCACACTGCACTATCACACAACAGGAACGCACTACGATTACGAACATACTGACTGATTGTACCAAAAGTCCTGTGGGCGATTATAGTACCCATTACACACATCTGCCCCTCGTTGTAATCCCGTTCTTGCTACCTGCGTCTACGCAGCGACCCTTCATAGCTCGTCGAGCTTAAGATTTGATGTCTGTCACCGATATTTCGAGATTCCCTATTTTTGTAAACTTATGGCCATAATGTTATCAGTTTGTTACAAAATCTCAACTTCCCTAAGCTAGTTAGAAGAGTTATTTAATTCTGTAGCACCTACTTGTTTATTTCTGACTGAATACAAAATCAGTGATACCCGCAGACAAACAAAAGCACGTCAAGCTAAACATAACGGCATCTTATGCAATTGCAATAAGGTTTATTTTCCTACAAAAATAGAGTCTGATGAGCTGGTCTGTTCAAATATTCTCGCCCTCATTTTCCTCCACATAATGATAACAATTTATGATGCATTGAAATGTGAAATCTATTGGGCAACTATCACTGTGCAGATTAGTAGGGCTATCAGCGATTACTTGGTCACGCATAGAATTACCTTATCGTCTCGCGAGGATAAAATATACAAGTGTAACTGTGTATGTAATTCATTTAGATTATTTCGGTGGCCTTTATTATCTAAGGTGCCTACCTAAAATGTAAATAAAAATAAAATCCGCTCGGTAGTTTTCGAGTCCTAGAACTGAACTGTCAAACAGTTTAAACATTTAGAATTAGTTTATAGTCTGTTTAAAATTAACTAAATAAGTAGGCAAGTAGTTTTATAGACTACGATAGTTGCTCTCATATTTATTGTCTTAAAATTTTGATACACAGACATTGGCTAAAATGTCGCCCTATGCTCCATTTTACTTGAAACTAATGTTGAACAAGATCAACAATAAGGTTTTTTTTAAATTGTAGTTTACAGGTAAGTGAAAAATGAAATACAGGGTGCGGTTTTGTAAAACAACGCCCATCAAAAAAAAAATATTTTAAATTTTCATGGAAAAATTCATGAAATCAGGAAAATTGAATTATTATGCGGGCGAGCTATACAGTCCCCCCGTTCTCCCAGGGTGGTGGCCGCAAGCCGCATGTGCTCGGTGGTGTAGCGGGGTACGCGGGGGTGGTGCGGGCGGTAACAAGCGCCATCTCGAAACTTTTAGGAGACGTTTTAACAAGGTTTTTTACTATTAAAGTAATAATTAGTTAAAACTTTATTTATAATTTTCTTGTAATTACTTTCATATGAACTAGCACCCCTGAGATGGGCGTTGTTTTTACAAAACCACACCCTGTATTAGAAACAAAGAAGAACATTCCTAAATTATGCTCTATTATTTACCTGTTTCAATAAAAATGAGAATACACATCACACTACAGCGTCTTTGCACCATACGTTTTATTAGGCGTTGGTTATTGCTCTATGATATCATTATCAAAACCGGTACGATAACAACCACAGCTGTTTTAAAATACATTTTATTAAATTATCATTCGGTAAAGAAATTGAATCTGCATTATCATTTACGGATGGCACCATTCACGCACTATTAGCATGCATACATTATGTAACCAACACTTCTATAGAAAATATTTATGTAGAGTTCGTAAAACTAATCCACGTGTAAAATTATCACTTCTCGTTTGAACACGTCATATCGATGCAATGACCCGCACGCACTGTCAAACTCCTTTGACCCCACACACACTTGACGTTTGAACACCAGTTAATTTGATTCCTTGATTATCGAGTTCCTGTTCTATTGAACTTCAGTTCTATTGACCCACTCTTTAAATCTAGATTGACAAATATTTTTAGTTTAATCTTTAGTTAATTCAATGACGTGACATTGTTCATACAATGGCCTTTGCGTCGATAAATTACTTAAAGTACTCGCATGTTTCACCAAACAAAAACAACAATTTATTTTGATATTGTTTAATTTAATCGGTTCATTGGAAGTTAACAATAACAATTTATTAATACCTAGAGTAGTTTTCCAATAAAAAATAAAGACATCATATTATAAGTCATATCACTCATACTATGAACATAATATTGTTTAACATACCTAAAACAAAAGCTCAGGAAATTTTGTTTAAAATAAAAAGATACACTGTAAAAACTATTGCCACTTTTTCCAAGCTAAATTCTATCGTCTACTTTAAACATTGCTTCAGAAGCTAAATTCGCTGGAAAATGCAAAACTATACACACTTAACCATTATCTTATTAAAATATTTAAAAAAATTATCATACGCACATCTGCTTTTTTGGAATCTTAACTTACTTTTTGCTATATTTGGTGTTTCGACTAACATAGCGCCTAGTACAAGTGTACCTTAACAATAGTTTAATATCACTTAAATAATATTCTACTTAATAATTAAAACTTTAACATGATTATAAGTCCTAGGTAAAGTAATTCTCATTACTATCACAATGTACAATATTGTTATACTTAAGTAACTATCTTAAATACTTATTCTAAGTTAAATTATATTTTAGGCCTTGACGAGTTCTTCAGTGCTGTTCTGTCTTCTTGACCTGATGTATTTTTCCAGGCCCCACGAAAGAGCTGTGAGCCATGTAAAGATGTTCAGACAGTGTAGAGTTACGGCTGTAGTAGCATTGTCTTTGATCCAACCTGCAAAGAAATCAAAATTGTCATCATCATCAGATCATTCAGTCTAATATAACTGCAGGATCACGATCCATTTTGATGTAAGAGGCAAATAGAAGATTTGGCCTTCACGCGCTGGCTAGACGGTTTGGGGATGCCAAAGCATGTAAAATGAATAAAAATAGCAAGAGGAAATGAATAATCATTATTCATCGAAATTCTTTTCATTGCCCTTTATCCTGTCTTTATTGTCTGGCAATGTAATATTTCATTTACACTTATCATCATATCAATGCAATATAATAATCGTTGATAAATTACCCAAATAACTTCAGAATTTTACATACCTACAAACGGTCCCAATGTGAGGTACACTATTCCAGCAGTAAGGAGTTGAATTCCAGAGGCTCCTGGTAGTTTGTGTAGAGGCACATGCGTGGGTATGACCAGGGCCATGAAAACGGTTCTAAGTCCCTTCCCAAAGCCAATCATTACTGCCACTAGTAGTACCACTCCGTAACTCTGCCAGATTGAAAGAACTGAAACGGAACAAACATAATTTGTCATACAAATCAAGTTTAATTCTAAAAATTACAAATAAAATCATAGTATAAAGTATAATTACCTACTCTCCCCATCGCCATTGACATAACCCCGAATAGGAAAAAAGAATTGTTATCCCATCCAATCTTTCCAGCAACAAATGGAATACAAAACCTAACGCACAGATCGACTCCAGCTAACAGTGACATGAAGAAAGCCACCTCCGATTTAGACAAACCATAGTCTCCAAGAATGAATGGCGTCAATATTGAAAAGTTTAATTCATTGAAATTAGCTAACGTAATACCCAACATCAAGTTAATGAAAGTTGTGTCTTTGAGAAGATCCAAATCAAAGAATATAGCAACTTTTTGACAGAATGTTAAATTTTCCTCTTCTGCTTCATCTTCTTCTTTCTTTGGTTCAAAAACATCATCATTCTGATAGTCTTCATCATCGGGACCGTTAATTAGTAATTTGATTTTATCAGCTTGGTTCTTGCTATCTTCATTATCCTTCAAATACTGTTCTAATTTTAGGGAAGCTTGTTTTAAAACTTCACTTTCATAGTTAAAATTATTCGATTTTCTTCTATGTCTAGTGCGATACGATTGGTTACTATGATTGTCTTTTAAATATTTCTTCTCCTCATTGTCATCTTGATTTTTATAAGAAATGTTACTGTGATTATCTTTTGAGTATTTTTCTCCATATTGTCCATCCATTCTAAATGATTTCATACTTTTGCTAGTTGCAAGATGTTTTTCTGCTCTATCAGCTATAATTTTAGCTTTTTCAGGATCAATGTTTTCGACTACAGCTTTTTCATCAGCTTTTAAATCTTGTGGAGCTTTTAACGTAGGGCAGTCTTCTATTTCAGATTCTGGAATCTGGGTGTCTAAAGTGATAGATGTCTTTCGTTTTGGTTTATAAGTATCTCGTTCCTGAATTGCCAATGCTCCAAGATTTGCAGTAGAATTCTTTTTAGATTCATTCAAATATAAAGTAGAAGATTTTCGTGAACGATTCTCAGTTAAGTTTGTCATCGATGGTTTCTTAGAATTTAAACGAGAATTCTTATTAGAACCTTCTCTTGAAGATAATCGACTTCTTGACTGCCTCGATTGACTGAAGTACCCATCATTGGCACGAAGCATCATAGGAATGCCGGGATCCGTTATCTCGTAACCCGTGTTAAGAGCATCATCTTCATTATAGAGGTACTGACTAGAAAAGGCACTTAAATTTTTAAATTTTGAAACTTGGCTGAAATAGCCACTCTCTTGATTATTTTTTTCTAAGTCTGCGTGCTTTCCATTGAGATCATTATTAAGTAGCTTTTTTTCTTCCACCGGTTTTTCTTCCTCTGGAGATTTAGAGTGCCATTCAACTGGTTGCAATAGAAGGGCGCAAGCGATGGCGTGTAGTGAAATTCCACTTATTATAAGAATAGCTCCTGTTTCGCCAAACACTGCAAAGAGGCCAGTGATAATATGTGGCCATAGCATAGGGCCAAGTCCTGTCGTGGTCCATGACAAACTAGTTGCTAGCCTCCTTCTCTTCTTCCAGTAAGTGTTCAAAGCCAGAGCATTAGCAGAACTGCTGATACCGTAGCCAGCGCCTGGAAAATACAAATATACCTATTTGTTTAATAAATACTTATGTGATAAGCAATTGCAGTAAGCACCAATAAAGTAATGCGATAAACTTACCGTATAATATGGAGAATGATATGAGGTAGCTCATAAAATTGTAGGAAAATGTTGTTAGCATCAATGCTATGAAAACTACCGTGGCTCCTGTGAGAGAGACTTGACGGTAGCTGAATGTTTTGAAAACGGGGCCATTCGCTAAACCTGAAATAAAAAATACGACGTTATTGTCTGATATCTTTTTAATCTTTGTTTCGATAAGCTATGGTGTTAAGTGCAATTAATTTAAGTTAATGAATTAAAACAAGCTCTACATACTATACCGTCCTGAAAAAGTACCTACCTACTGAGTTTTTTTGCCATTCATCGTTTGTATTTAAAAAAAAATAAGCTATAATTTTTGATATTTAATCTTTATGTGAGAAGGCTCATTAATTTCTACGTCAACTATAGCTCTAGTTAATATGATGCTTCATGGAAGCATTACCAAACCTGTCATCCGAGTTATACCTCTATAGTCTGCTAATACAGCAAACAAGCCTTCGACCGGGAAGTGAGCAATACAATTGATGGAAAACTGCATTGAAGATAGGACTCAGCCGCGCTATCAAATAAACAAATAGTGTAAAAGTTACAATGGGCCGGTATGGTATCAGAGAGTTACCATCGAGGCGCGTCACGCACCGACGCAAGAGGTCAGGGCCGAGTTCATGTTGATGATTGTGGTGGTCTGCGAGCTGCTGATTCCAAGCCGAGCGAACTTGTCACGGAAGAGTAGCCCGAACTGCTGGAGAATTGGCAGCGCTGACAGCTGACAATAGAAAAGTAAACATGTTTAAAGACTTTCCCCTGCGACAAACTTGACTGGTTGGGTTTTTATTGACGGTCAGAAAGCTGCAGATCCTGGTCACGGAGGATGCAGAAGTGGAAACTAGAGGTAGAAATACTTAGTCCCGTGAAAAAGCAAATATCAACAAAATTACTTTGATTGGCAAATAATTAGATCGTCATTTGTGTGACGAATTGCCAGACATGCCCTATTTTTTATTTATCATTTGACTTATATTATGCGATAAGCATTTTTCACAATAAGAAAGGCTATCACGAGACATAAATCGCATAATAAAGTAAGTATTCTGCTTAATACGAGATATGAAGAGTAGGTTTAATATTATTTTCATCACGTGTCTAGACTTCTGCGCAACGAATGAATACCTATACAATTATGAGTACGCATTTATAAACTTGTTAAATTCTACTAATATTATTTATGCAGACATTAGTTTGTGAGGATGTTCATTAATACTCTTTTACGCAAACAATTCTGATCAGATTTTGATGACACTTTACGGCTATAAATAATAACGATCTGCGACCAAACTGAATTTAATCGGGCAAAACTGCAGACAAAAGCTTAGGTACACATTATTATAAATTAGTTCCTGAATGACACCGATATAGTTACTGGTGGCAATAAGCAGTTACGTAATTCGGAAGAATTGGGGAAGAAACATTATTAATTGACAATTGCATTTATAACTATGGGTCTAACGAGAAAATCTTATAAATCCGTGTATATTTGATAATGATCAGATACATTTTCCTAGTTTCCCTTCGTGTCTTATGCTATTAAAGTAATCGACGTAATCATTCTATATTTATTTAAATGGAAGCTTGTTGCATAGGCTTGAATTACAATAATTGCTGGTGTTTTTCCATGTTCTCTTTTGGAGATTTATTAATTTATCTTCGGGTTTAATTAAAAGTTTAGAGAGATCCAGAACTTGGACAGTCGTGTGATACGAATAATCGAATAGTTACTATCGCAAAGGTCACGACCTATTTAATAAGAAGACTTTGAAAAGCAGTTGTATCCGCCGTGATATTAGGGTTATCAAAAGTATCTCCCGATTCCAAGGAAATAAAAATTAATTGCTACTTAAAAAGATGAAAAAATTACCCGTGCAACGCAGTTCATTAAATTGTGTGTGTAAACATTTCTTCGTAGTGTTTTTAAATTATGATAGCGTATTGTTGTTATTAGGCATTGAAGAAGTCGGTAAGATTACTTACTTAGGTAGGTAATTCGTAATTCACATTTTACGTGACTTCTGAATGCACCTCATCTTTTGTGATGTTTTAATTTGTTCATATTCGTGTATGCAGTGCTGTTGTTTGTATGCAGTTGGACTGTAAAATATTTCTAGTAATTGTAACTAAGGAAAATTGATTCTGGTCGACTCTGGACTAGTCATCTGGCTAGAAAATATTTGAGACTGTAGTAAGTTAGAAGATAAACTGAAATTAGTTTCAGAAAGTAGACCGCTACAACCCTGGTTATATTGTGTGATAATGTTCAGTATTGATAAACTGCAGTCGTAAATAAATAAAACATTCTAAGCTATAAATTCGCTTATTGTCACAAGATTAGCGTAAGTAGGTACTATCTCCTATGTAATATTATACTAGCTTTTACACCAGCTATCGGTTTATTTTTATTTTCCCTATGTGAAGAAAAAGCTGAAGAGGTCCGAAAATCTATGAAAATCCATCGCACAATTTAAAAAATCTTTTATTTTTCAAAGGTTACTCGTACCTTTCTATTGTAAATGATTATTAGCTAATAAATTTATTTATAAAATACGTACATTTGAAAATCCAGCTGCGAAAATTATCATCCAGCCCCAACCCCCGTCGGGCGGGATGAAATCACCATCTTTTTTCACTTTGGATTTTGTCACTGGTTTCGCCATTTTTATTATTTTATTTGCTTAATGCTTATCGGCCAATAAATGTGCCACACTGGAGCGAATCGAACGCTCTTTGCATGCGGTTCCTACTGAACTGATAAAATACATATGACACACTTGTATTTAATACAGTAATGATTCAGCTCCATGTAACAGACGGAGCCCTTGTAGATATAAACAATTAAGATAAAAACTATTCGACACAACATTGCGTTAGCCGCTGTCCTCGTCTAGATCCTTTACATTAAAAACTCTACATTGTAACCTAATTAAATCCTCCTGATTGGAAACTTTTCGTTAGGAAATCTATCAAATACCCTGAAATAATCTGCTGAAAAATGCACATAAAATATTTATTTTTCGAATTTTTCGATTTCTCAATAATCTCATTGAAAGCTTTTTTACTAATAGCTAATAATAAGTAATTTTATTTTAAATACCTACTACAATAAATTCATACAAATGACTCAGAAAATAAAGACGCTAGAGTCCAGAGTCTAGACTAATAAAACTCTGACAGCCGTATGATGAATTGCCATAAAGTAATTGAAATGGAAAATTATTATTATGAATAATCAACGTAAAGTTTCCAACGTTTGGAGACTTTAATGTTTCGTAAAACGCGATTGTTTTTTTAAAATACTGGTGAATTTTGGTGATGAAATTTATACCATATTGTTTAGGTACACTACCTAATAATAATATATTTTGGAGTAATAAGCAAGTTTTTCTTCAATGGATGAAAATGATGCAATTTGTTTATTCTCATCGATTGCCAAATTTATCTTCATTGATCATCTTGACGTTATACAATTTATCAATATGCAACGTGATCCAACCGTCCAATACAACTATGTATTTATGGGATAATATCGCTTGCAATTGAACTGTACACATCATTCAGTGCATTTAACGTAAGCTTTTTATAACTATTCAGTCACCATCAGATATATTTTTGTAGTAAAGTAGTTAGTGTAATACAACTCTATAATGCGACAGTGCTGTCTCATCCGTGTGTTGACTATGAGGAGCATGAAAATAAAATAAATCATCTTTGTTCTGAGAAATAACAATTAAACACAGAAACTAGAAACTCTAGAAAGTGTGATTCTGTCATATATGTAGTCCCGTAATAAAACCATGAACATCGATTTGAAAATAATGGGTCACAGCAAAGTTATGCATAAGAACTCAGATAATAATTAAATTATGATAAGCAAAAAAGTTATTGTGCAATAATAAGATTTGAGAAATTCATAAAAGATAATTGTTTACTTTCTCTACTTTTCATTAGTCATCGTTAAATTATGAGTATTAATATTCATAAACTTAAATAAGAACGAAATGAGAAATTTCCAGGAAATGCACAAAGAATTCTAGGGAATACGATTGAGGAAAAGCAAGACCAAGTGCGATTGTTTTTAAAAATATGTTGAGATTAAAATTTCATGAACAAGATTTGTTTAGGTTTTCTCCCGATCCTTTGTTGGAATTAATTTTTTTCTGAAATCACTGTCATATTATATTTTTTATGAATTACTACTTTTTAATCAGTTTGATACAAAATGACACCACACGGCTTTAATAGCAGATTAAATGTATTGGATAGTTAGTTATAATTGTACTTAGATAAATAATGTAGTCTGTATCTATTTTACAATATTTAACAGCGCTAAACTAACCATTATTTACCTACCAAAGTAGGTAGGCGTTATTGATGTAAGATAGGTGACACATAAGTGGATTAGATAAGTTTGTGATAAGAACCTTCGTAAAGCCTTAGGATTGGTAGGGGTGCCATCAAATGGACTTAGACTTAATACTTACCCATATCGCTAACATTATTTTGTGAAAGGCAAGTAAGTATTAAAAATTAAAATTAAATAAAGTAGGTAATTTTCTTGAACATGGTAAATATAACTCGATGTTTGAACTTTTATCACGTGAGTTAAAGATTTCTATCGTGTCAGTTTTTTCCTTGAAATCTTTTATTAAAGAGCTGTTTAAGGAAAACGTACATTACCTACCTACGCAGCCTAGGTACTTAAATCAGTGAGATAATAATAGCTTTGTATCAAAAGTGCATAGTAACTAGGTAAATAGAAGGTGAATTGATGAAGTTTATTGACATGTAATGATAACGATATCAGAGAACTGAAAACATGCACAGCTTGCTCTTGAGAGGTTGTGAACAAATCCTGAAGGATTTTTCTCAAATGACTACTTTTGCAATAATTACGTTATCTTTTAAATATTTTGATTACTTATTTCTAAGAGATTTTTAATCTTCAGTTAACATGTCTGAAAATTAGTAAGATGTATTTTTTTAAGAGCACTTTCAGGCAAACATTTTGTTACCATGTGTCTTTCTCTCATGCATCTGGGTAAGCTATACATAGCTAAAAAACCATCGAATATTTTATATTTTTCATGGAATATTTTCCAGCCACTAAAATGAGACGTGAGTATCTAAATGCCCCTACGATACGACGCAAATGAGTGCTAGCTCTACTAAGAATATGACAATAAACTCCGTACTTATTCTAGACTGAAGATTATATTATTTCTGCGTCATAACTATAACAAACTGAAAGGGATAGGTGAAAAGCACGATGCGAACGTTTTTCCTACTCGAAAGTTCTTTTATACTTTCAGAATATGCTGCCTGCCAGACAACAAAAGAAGTCTGGTGGGGTGACTGGGGTGAATGGTGACTAATGCTGGGTTGCACCATCTTACTTTAACTTTAACAAACGTCCAAAATCTGTATAACTCCATACAAAAAACACCGGTTATTATAATAGTTACGGTTAAAGTAAGTTGGTGCAACTCAGCCTAAGCATTGACTGACCAATTAACAGGAATAGGTGCCAGACGATAATACTTAGAAGTACTTACTTACCTAACATTTTTATTTATGAACCATCAATAAATTACTTAAAGAGCATGGCTCATGCTGTATGTGCATGCTCGTGAAGCGTGTTTCCGCCACGACACCCACGAGTATTCCTAGTATTAAACAAACCTGCATATTACCACAATAGGAACCTACTTAGTATTGTATTATGGGTAACGACGAGAATAAAATTAAGGGGACTTTTGGTCATTTGACTTTTGTTTATGTGTAGCCTAGTAGCCGAATAGTTGGGCTATTTACTATCGATTATTCATAGATGCAATGCACAGTTTTATCTAAGTAGGTAATCTACCTAACAAGTCAGACAACCTACGTTGCGTTTCTACTGCTATCAATATTCCTAGACGTAGGACATAATACATACCTACCTACAATATTAGACAGCATTATCTAAATGCTACTTAAGACAAAAAGATAGCAACACAAATATACCAGTCATTTTTATTAGGTTCTTATTGGAAGACACATTTTTCTATATTGATTTTCGAGAATTTCAAGTTCGTAATTATTCTACAGCCATGCAGACCATAAATTCAAATCAAGTAATTTTCGTGTTTCCAACTTTCCAGTAAATATTTATAGAACATAGAACTTCACTTTAAAATTATTAAATAATAGAAATCCACTTATTTACATAGTCATAGACACACACTTTCACATTTTTTATATAGGTTCATCGAAATTCAAAACTGTCTCAAACTATGCACAAACACATGAAAAAACTTTTAAGTTTTCCCGCGCCTAGCCTTTGTCGCCATCTGTTGTGACATTTTAGAAACTGATTGTAGTCCAAGGTTATTATTATTCAGTGCCATTGTACAGCATATTATTAAAAAAGTTCTAAATATTAAGAAAAAGGGTTCTATCTTTTTAGCAGTTGGTTTTAAAAATATTTATTATAAAAAAACTTCGCATTTGTTAACATCAAACAAAAAATGCTTGCGTGGTTAGGAACGTTACGATTAAATAAATAGTGATGTCAGGGAACCTTTATCGATACCTTCCGCTAGCAAACCTGACGCATAAACAAAAAAACGTCCTTGAATGCCGACCCCATGACGTCACCCGCCGCGCGTGGGACCCTAGTCGTAAAAACTAATGTTTATGACCGCTTCTTAGAAAGGCTATGAATGGAGTGCCGTTTTTATGATAGCAGATGAATGTAGCTTTCGAACAGTGGTGTTATCGTTGCTTTTTATGTACATTATTAATTACAATGAACTATGAAAGTCGAAACTAGCTGTAGAAATGGCTAATACTCGAGCTAAAGTATGTTTTATTTCCGTAATTAAATCGATAACCTACTTATTTTTTTTATTCATTAGGTCAATTGGTTAATGTGTTGTAAGATAAACATAAGAGCACAACTTACCTTGTAGAATGTTTCTTCTATAAAAAATAAAAACTTTAAAAATCGGACGTGTGACGGCTCATGTCAAACTGAGAGTAATACTCGAGCTAAAGTATGTCTTATTTCCGTAATTAAAGCGATAACCTACTTATTTTTTTTATTCATTAGGTCAATTGGTTAATGTGTTGTAAGATAAACATAAGAGCACAACTTATGGTGGTTTTTTTGTTTTAGATTTACTGTCAAAAATAATGATGTCTCTTTAAATAAAAATGATCGTTAGTTTTGACATTAAATTTCATAAGCAGCGGCTGATAACACGAATGCTGGCTAGATGTTTGATAAAAATTTAGCACTATTTGTTAATAATTTACAATTATGTTTGACCTATAGCAGCGTATCTTACTGCTGCGCACCAGAAGACGTCTTCGTCTTCGGCTGAGGTTTCGGGACATTAATTTTTTATTCTTAATGTCTGTTTAAAAACAAACGTCATAAGCAAGGTTGCCCTTTACAAGATATTACCTACATAAACTGTCGAAGTTACATTATTTTTATCATGACCGGGCTAGCATGAACAACACAGTAAAATAGTGCAATGATTTTATTTTCAAACTAATACCCAGTTCTCTTCACCAGTTAACGATTTTTGTTCAGATTCATCGATAGTCGATAAAAAAGGGATACTCATGATGTACGTCTCTTTGCTGTCATGCAGGCCGAAGCTGTCATTTTGACATTAACTTGTTCCTATTTCAATTTGTCAATTTGTAATTTTTGTTGGCTGTGGTTGCACTTGCACGCACAGTACAAATCCGTACTTCCAATTTTTTATGCCCAATGTTTTAATTTCTTTTGTTGTATTAATTTTCTAACGTTTACAAGACTTATTTACATTATTCCAGTTTAGTGCAGCCTGTTCGTGTCAGTATTTCTTTAATCAAATTGCATTAAAATTAAGTGGGTATATTTTGACTGAACTTTTCTTTGTGACTTTGATCTAAACTCGTAACCAGTGAATAATAATTCTTTGTCGTCATATTTGAAAACAGTGGAATGATATTGTATTGTTGACAGAAACTTTATGGAAACCTTCACCAAGGTATGTTCTTAACTTCTTATTCTTTTCTTCTTATTTTATAATAACTTCTAATGTTTTAGCATGATTATGTTATATTTGCAATGAACTAAATAAAACTTTTCTTTGTAGGCTTAATAAATTCCAAGAAAGTTATATTTTATTTATTTTATTAGGCTTGTAATATAGGATAAATAACATAAATTATAAATGAGTTAAAAAGTTTCATTATTTAATATAAAATGGGTAAGAAAAAAGTAAATAAATCAAAGTAAAACAATCATCTTATTCTTTTTGGATTGCTGTGTTTATTGAAGTTAAACTTAGCTGTAGCACATACTTTGTAACAGTTTATTCCTACAAAGAAGGAGTAGTAGTGAATTATGGTTGTATGTAGTTAAAAATAAGTAGTTGTAGTTAACATTGATATATGCCTCATTACATATTTTGTTAATTACAAACATAAATTGTGTGTTTATTTAATCAAGCAACAAGTATAAAAACAGTTGAATGCAATCAAAGTGATTGACCTATTTGCTTTGATTTTCATAACACACAGATGTGGTAATTGTTATCATCGTCGAAATTATTGGTTTTTATTAAAGAATCTATATTTACTAGTAGAAGGAGCCTTATTAAGTGGCACAGGCAACGGACATTGACACTTTTAAACGGTAGAAATAAAGCCATTGTTGCTACACTCAATAAAATTGTATGAAATGTTAACTGGTTTTTTCTGTTACTCAATAATATGTATATTTTTTATGAGACAAACAACTTGTTATCTTAGGTGTTTGATATTCCTGGAATAACAGAGGTATTGGCTAAGCCCTGTGGCATAAAATATTTAATGTTTTCTCTTAAAATAAAAAAAAAAGACCAAGGTGGTAACCAGCACTGTAAAATTATGTATCTCTAAGGCTGTATTATACCCTCTTACTGCAACTTTAACATACATCAAAAGTATGTCAAACTCCATACAAAACACCTGTTATGATTATAGTCATGGTTAAAATAAGGTGGTGTAACTCAGCATTATTCTGTGTAACTGGAATTAATACAAGCAACATCCAGCATTTAAGCAATGTACTATCAACTAGGCCAGTCAACACATGTAATGTATTGTTTTTAATTAATAAACAGAAAAGCATCAATTAATTACTTTGAGGCAGCACATGGTATTTAACCCATAAACTCATGTACCTATTAACAACCATGGAGATAACAAGGAAACCCTCATTTAACTTGTAGAATCAGTTAATGTAAATAACTATAAATTAAACTGTGTCATGAACTTCACGGAAGCTCTGTTGAAAGATGTATCATACATGGAAATCTCCATGTATGTTTTTCAGTTTATTATCTGTTCAGTGTTGTGTAAGACAAACTTGATGTATTTGTCCTTTATTTATGGATTTGATCTCTAATTTATTATTTACAGCAAGAAAATATGAATAGGTCTGCTCTTATGAGGAGATCAAGTTTGAACATAAACATAAAATAATTTGAAATAATAAAAGCCATGCATCAACTTCTACTCTGATGAAGCAGTTAGAACTAGTTAGAAGTTAATTTTGAATATTTTAAAAAATAGACTACCATGTCAGAATGAGTTTTTTCATGATTACTCAAATGATTTTGAAACTGGAAATAAAAATTAACTAATCCCTTTTGAGGCAAGTAATTTGAAATAACTTAAAAAACAAAAGAAAAATCAGTAAGATTTTAAGATGATATTTTTTAATAGGGTGATAGTTGAAGTAAGTAAATTAACTTATTTTATTGAGAAAGGTCTTTCTTCGTCTTTCTCTTCTTTCTTCAGTCTTTTAGGCTAAAATTAAATTCGAGACCTCATTGCTCATGCATGTAAATCCCTTCGCGTGGGCGTTAACGCCAATGATTACGTATACTAATTTTTTGGGACGTCTCTTTTTATTGTTTGTTATTGTTACTTTACTGGAAGATATGACTGAGAATTTATTATGTGACTTGAAACACGTACCTACGTAGGTACGACATTATGTTTTTCGCAGAAATTACTTTTTGTATCTATAAAAGCGAAAGGTCACTGATTGAATGACTGACTCACTCACTAATCACGAAATCTCAGAAATTACAAGTGCCAAGTATTGAATTTTGCATGGGGGTTCCTTTTAGATAGCTGCTCACTAAGACGGGATTTTACGAAACTCCACCTCTAAGGGGGTAAAATGAGATTCAACCTTACTATGCTGATGAGACATTTAGATATTAGGTAATTAATTACATTATTATTAGAAAATAAATTGTTTTCGGCGTTAATTGAATGTTCACAGTTCAGTTCATATCCAAAATTAGTTGGCAACTGCGTTCAAAAATATCCATAGCGCATGGCCCGCCCTGGCCTCGAAATCCGCTTTTTCTATGGAAAATAACACCATTATTTCCGATAAAACAATGCATATTGTGCTTGCATACTAATACGTTTTTTGTCAACATGACATTTACAAAAGGCACCTACTATTGAGTTAGTAGTAATTCATAGTGGTCAATAGTGGTATTATTCGTAATGCCGTCATATTTCAAAACATTTTAATATTTTGTAATTTTGAATAGATTAAGATCAGTATTTATGTTATGAAATATATTCATGATTCGCACGATATCTCCTGATACTAAGTAAGTATACCTTATATCACCGCTTTATGTTTTACTTAAAATGTACAGTAGAACGCCGATTATCCGAATTAATTGGGACCGGGGCTGATTAGGATAATCGAAAATTCGGATAATCGAACATAGGAAAAAACGAACTGTCACACATAGAATAAACTTTAATAAGTTTAAAAAACAGATATATTTCTACTGAGCGTTATTGTAGAACTGCTACAATAACGTTCAGTTGAAATATATCAGAGTTTCATCAAAACAAATCAAAAATTACTAGGTTTTAATTTTTTATTTTACGCTTAGGACTGATTCGGATAATTGGCGATTCGGTTAATCGGCGTTCGGATAATCGGCGTTCTACTGTACTTGAAACTTAATTATTATGGTGCGTCACACTGGGCTCGCTGGTGCTCGCGCGGCAAACTCGACATCTTGCTCACTCAAGAGCAGGGTGAGCAGGATGTCGAGTTTGCCGCGCGAGTATATTCGCCCAGTGTGGACGCACCATTACAGTTAGCTTTTAAAGCAAAGTAAACTACACTGTAAGGCCTGCGTTTGTAAACAAACGTTACCAAGCTGTGACAAGTTGCATTAGAAAGTCCCCTACATACGAGTCCTAGATCGTCTGCCTTTAGCCCGTTTACGATGAATGCTAGCTCAATTACTGTATTTTAATTAGTACTAGCTTTTACACGCAATAAAAACTAACGCACACTCGCCAATCTTACATGATCCAATTGCAATTAACTAGATTAATTATTCGGATTCATTTATCAGTTTCATATCCTATTGTAGGTATATTTAGGTCACAATAATAGGTATGTAGTGTACCTAATTAGAACTCAAATATTATTTAAGCTCCGACAGTTAAATAAATTGGTGTCACATGGTTAAATTGGCGTTTTTAGAATCATTTTAGTGTCCATACTCAAGCACGCTCCGACCGAATGTTTGACTCTTGATTTATTTCCAAACAAACGGGCTATCTCATCAAGTATGTCGTCATGTTGGACTCGTACTTCAGTATCGATAGCAACCACTGATTTTCACGTGATTTGTACGGTCCACTCGTCAACAAAAGAGAATATCTATGTTGTTTTTCTTTGATATTGTCGCAAATATTTACATAGTTGTTCATCGGCAAATCGATAAATGATTAAGTTTATCGAGGGGGTATTGCTGGATTAAAAGTCTTTGAGATAACGTATTAGCGAATTACTGATTAAAGAGCGTGTTCCAAGACGCGGAACTGAAAATAGTAGTAATTTAGATTCTTGAAACGGTTGACCAAGGATAGTTTATTTGGAAACGTGTCAACGGTTCTATTGTTAGATTTTAAATTCAAGGCTTCTTGCTCTATCAATAAAGTGACTAGAATTTGGTAAAAGCCGAGCCGACGAAGCGTCTGTTAATCTGTTTACATTCCATTTGCATGAAAGTGCGCCACGAAGTGTGATTCCGTTGCTTTCTACTTATTCTCCTAGCTTTTGCCCGCGGCTTCGCCCGTGTGAAATTTTGTCCGTCACAGAAGAACTTTACCGCGAGTGCGGCGTCACTGTTTTAAAAACCGATATAAAAACTATCCTATGACGTTTCCCGGGACTCTATCTCTATACCAAATTTTATCAAAATCAGTTCAGTGTTGTATGCGTGAAAGCGTAACAGACAGACAGAATAAGGATAAATAGTGGCATATACCGGGGCCTAAGCACTGGAGTGCAGTTTTTTGCGCTCTGACATCAGCCAGGTGATCGGCCGCGGTTGTTGCCAGGCCAGTTTTTTGTTCGCAAATCGTTGTTGCCTGATATACAAATTTTCCAGTGCGTCCTTTCAGTATTCGTTTGAAAAAACCTACTTAACTTCGTACCTGTCTTCCTTATCATACTAAAGTTTCTTTTATTACAAAAGTTCCCAAAGCTATTGTCCTGTCCCAGTAAAATATTAGATAGCATTTAGCAAAAGATTAAAAGATCAATAACAAAAGACGAACCCACAAAACGATTAGTGCACTTAGTTCTCATTGTGTGACGATGTCTAATTATCTATTCTTTGTAAAAGCACGTCCTGCGTGCACGCATATTGATAACTCGACCTACTTAAATCAAATCAATAGATCTTCGATTTTGTGATAAGACAACAATGCCCACGTGACCGCTATCCACAACTCTACATCAGTAGCCGTAGCCAAAAAATACCTATCCACCTACATCCCGAGCGGAAATCTAATTTTGGACACTTCAGATGTTTAATTAAATTCAACGTTAACGTCTCTCATGAAATAGTGCACGCACATAATTACAACAACCGTTCGAATCGAATAAATAATTTTGTAACTTACATTGGTGTTTCACCATTGAAAATAAAATATAACACAC